ATGATGCTGCTAGCAATACACGGATGGGCGGAGCGCACGGCAGCAGAGGCGGAGATCAGAAAGGATTGGCAGCTCTAGTGCGCTGAACTAGCGCATGTTTGCTTACGAAGAGGCCATATCTCGCTTTGTTTGGCTCATGACTTGGCTTTACAGTGTAACAGTAGTGGTAGTAGTGGTGTAACTGTCCGTGCCTGGACACACACCTGCTCGTAAACCCTTGCTTTAGCGACTGCTCTGACGTCGCGCCTGAAGGCGCGGATCGGGATCGAGTTGGTGTGTTATTTTTGGAATTTTATCCCTCAATGCGATGAGGGACATTAGTGGGGATAAGAGCAAAAGCACTAGGGAACCCTGTCATTCTCCTTGTGAGATCGGCCGTTGTATATTTGAGAGACACAGCGCTGGCAAGTTGGGAGAAACCCGAGACAGGTGTGCGCCGGCGAGAGCAGTGTGTTTTGTCCGGATGGAATGCTCACCTATGTCTGCGACAGGGCTGCTTCGTTCTGACGTTGAGGGTAACTCCTCAGCATCTTTGTTAGCTTGTCGATTTCTGAGGTCAGAAGCCAGTCCAACCTGGTATACCATTTCGTTTGAAAGAGTTAACCTAGAAACGTAAACAGCCAGAAACTTCCACTGACCTTCATCCGCTTAATGAGTATCCGGAGAACAGTCCGCCATACAATAATTGCTCTATCCAGAGTACCACCATTGCTGAAGGGAGCCGACTAAAACCAGAAAAATTAGCTTCACTGTATTCGTGGTAAATATTCATTTTTTGAACAAGTTCTGTGAAAAAACCGTTCTCAAAATATCCATCAAGAATTGAAGGCTCTGTGCATGGAAACCGCATGGTCGGCGGTTCAAAGGTACAATTCAAGGCACAGGAAGGGTGAACGATTTCCCCCCACTGTAGGAGGGACCCTAGAGGGTAATTAGAGATGAGATACTCACGTCATGGAAAACGCCAGATAAAGCCGCAGGGGCCTCGCAAATACAGCTTCAACCGCTTCAAGTTTGCCCGTCCGCAGCAGGTCTGGCGCCCTCTCATCTGTCGCGCTCTCTCACCTCATCCTCTCCTCTGCGCGCTCTGTCTCTCATTGCCTTAACACGGCAGCACTACGGACGCCGTACCCACCCATATGCTCTTTTATGAGTTCCTTACTGAAGTCAGTTGTCACTGAACTGTCCATGTAGTGTGGTTTCCGAGATAGGTTCCTTTAAATATGAGTTTTCACGCATGGAACGTCGTACACCGCCTTTGATTATCGCAAGCATTCATGCGGGAAAGGAAGAAAGCGAGGTTTCGTGCGTGATGCCTTCAAAGATAACACGTTGTCAACAATCCATATCCCGTTATTTTGGTGACCCCGTAGAGTCCTCAGGAGTAAGTTTCCAAGAGATGCAATGCTTAAAACACATATATAGGTACATACATAAATACTAGCATTTAAAGATTGAATATATTGAACAAAAACGGCTGGAAGGAGCATGATTGACGTCTTTGGGCATCAGTGATGGAGCAGAGCCGTGAGGTAGCCCCAACCACACCTCCCAGCAGGAACGAATGATAGGTCGAAGTGGCCATATGCAAAGAGACCTACACCGTTGGATGTGTTTTTGGACGCTGATCTCGAATCTGCTTTCCAAATCTGCCAAACGATTTTCCGAATGGAGTTATGAAGGAAAGTAGTGCAGCGGTAGTAGTCCGGGTCACGTGCGAGAGGTCGTAGGAACAATTCCTGAAGGATGATTTGGCTCCTAGGAGAATTTTATATTTTTAACACGAATGTCACACTTGCTTGACGCAGAAACGTCTGTCAACAGTTTTGCGGGCTCCAGGTGCTGTCGTTGCACGTAGTGCTTGGTAACTCTTCTCAAACTCTTTACGGGTAACGATGGGCAAACGTTGATCAAGTAACGTAGTGAGAGTCTGTTCAACCGTGTTATCGCAAAGGCAAAAGGGAGAACCCGTCCAGGGAATCGATCCTACGACCTCTCGCACGTGAGCCCGGACCACTACCTTTTTTTGCTTCATAACTCCGTTCAGGAAAATCGATTGGCAGATTTGGAAAGCAGATTCGAGATCAGCGTCCAAAACACATCCAACAGTGTAGGTCTCATGCATATGGCTACTTCGACCCATCATCCTTTCCTGGTAAGGGATCCGGTCCACCAATGGCGTCCAATGACGCCCGCTTCAAGCCATCGTATTCTTCCTCTGGAAAAAGAAATCTGTGGTCGCTTTTCACACGTCATTTCGGTACTTCGGGCAGGCGACGTGCTTGTTGAAGTAACATAATATGTAATTAGTGAAAAGTTATAGCAAGCGACGTGGTCACTGCGCAGAACTGGTGGGCTGGCATAATTGAAAGGTCTAACGTCAATCTCAAAGCATTGTACTCGTTTGTTTTTGACACGTTTTCAGTCGACGTCTGGCCGTTCATAAGAAGGGCAGGTTGTGTTGAAGACACTCAAGGAGTGAACTTCCAGAGGCATATACCGTTATGGCTTATAAAATAAACCAAGGTACCTCACCGATCCTAAAACTCGTCGAAAGTGAAACAAAGTGCATTCGATGAACACGCCCCAGTGATGTGCCTTGAATCCGCGTGAGTCGGTCAATCGTCCATGCACTCTACCTTAAAAATGTGGAGAAATTACCTGACTGTATTTCAATGAAACAGTGGAAGATCATGAGAGGTTGTCTGTCCACATAACATCAACAAACAGTATTTATCCCCACTGAGAATTAATACCGCAAGAGAGGCTAATAATACAGGGGTCAGAGAAGGCACTCTATTGTCCTCATACTCTGTTCACTCTTGAAGGCAGCGATTACGATAAAGAGGGAGCGCATCGGGAAAGCATATGCACCAGACGAATCGGTTACTTGGCTGCCAGAAAAGCGAGGTGTAGCGCTTTCACGACGGAAGGTACTGGTTGCTGAGCAGGACTTGAGCGCTTCGCCCTGGAAAGCGATCGGCCCACTGATTTACTTAGTAATTTGGACGAGTTGCGCTGGTCCGCTTTCTGAACTGTTGCCTGTTCGTGGGTGGAAATCAACGGACAGAAAAATGGGTCCGGTTTTTTTTGTTTTCTTGACGAATGTGTTACTCTTTGTTTGTCGTCACTGAGCGTACCATTGAGCTACACGTCTCTAGTGACCTTGCTTACAATCTACCGTAATCGCGCCTCTATCTAATACGTCATTTCTTAACCTCCATCAAAACGTAAAATCAATGGAATCCAGCGCCGTCACTGCAAGCCAATTGCGATCTGAGGGTAATCGTCCACAAAACGAAGAATCGACCTGGGACATTTTTCTGAGACATGAAACTTGGACAAATCAGATGAATACAATACTCAGTTTTTACAATTTTGGCATTCGCTCTAGGGATACTCATTAAAGAGAAAGTTAAGATTGAAAAATGCACTTGATGGAGCCACTTCTTCCACGTTTTATGTTCTTTCGATTCCAGGTTACGGGGCTCTACGAATCACTTTTACCTGTTCGAACTATTTGCCAGGGAGTTCGTACCTAAATAAATTGGAGCGATAACCGGAGTGTAATTTCCAATAATGCACTGACAAATTATCGTAGCGTTTGTCCATTTTCTTACCCAAACCAACACAGTACTTTATTCCTACTGAAAATCAAGACCGCAAGAGAGCTCACCTAATTACGGGGTCAGACCAAAAATCATTTTCGTCACCACCTCAACTCTCTACTCTTAAACGCTTTTTACGACCCCGTATCGACTCTTCACCTATTAGTAATTAAGCGCATCCATTCCTCAACTGCTTCACATTCTTCACCGTGTTTCTCATCTATCGGCACAATACTTCAGCATCTCAATTATACAGTAATTGAAAAGAGTGTTTAAATTGGATCTGATTTATACATGGGGACCGTCGTGAACAGGAAAATAACCCCACTAAAACTATAAATAAAGCCATGTCGTCAAACAGTAAACGCAGCACGATTATTACGATAAAGTAGAGAGCGATACGGCAACATATGCATCCTACACGAATCATATTACTTGGCTGTCACGAGAATGGAGTGTAGCACTCTTAAACCGTACGGAAGTTGCTGTTGCTGAAGCAGGACTTCGAAAAGCAACATCCGAGCCCCAAATATAGCGATCCGCCACTGCTTTACTGGTCGCATGCCTCCTAGTTGTCTGGAGCTGCAGTAGCACAACGAGAAACATATGAATTGTGTTTGCATAGTGCCACTAACAAACGGATCGCACAACTCGTCATAAAATCTGTTCTTCTGAACTGTTATCTGTGTCATGAGCTGAAAACCACAGAATAAAAGGGTCCCATTTTGCTCTTCTTGAGTTTTTTATAATCTTTTTTCACGTCACCTGGCGTACATATGAGCGCACTCACATCTCCCTGTGAACCTTCGAAATCTACGTACATCGCCTCCATCAATTAAAACAACTGAAAAATCCAGGGCACTTCAAGGCAATCAATCTCTCGAGGAAAAGTCCCACAAAATCACGGATCTGCTCTGAGCATATTTTTCTTGCAATTATGAACCTGATACCAATAAACAAACTCAGTTTTTCAATTTTGGCCATTCGCTCTAGGAAAAAAAAATTAAACCCTCCACCCCCCGGTTAAACCGAGAAGTCGAGATTGAAAATGCACTTGAAAGGAGCCTACTTCTTACCACATTTTTCTATGTTTTCTTCGATCCAGTTACGACTCTACGAATCACTTTGCTGATCGAACTTTTGCCAGAGAGTTCCGTCTAATTTCTATCCTTTTGTGGTGTAAACTTAGTTGATGAACATACAAAGCAACCATTCCGCTCCCATTCACCTTCTCCACAAGGGATTTGACCCTGTACCCTTCTATTATTGTGGAGTGACGGCACAAAAACAGCATCTGATTATTTCACGTTTTTTGGTTTGTGAATCTTGCACTTACTAACAAGGCCTCCTACTCTCTAGGTTTTTCTGACAAAATTTTCTTATACATAAGAGGAGACATGGACAAGTGCGATCCACTGAGCAAGCGAAGATTCAGATAACTTTAATTTCAGCTGGAGTTGTTTGCCCGGAGCAATCCGAAAGCACTGACTAGCATGAATTCCTTCCTATTCCTTCTTCTGAATGACAATGAAACCGATTCACAATCGCCTCCGTGACCAGAATTCATTATGAATTTTTTTTGTTCAAACAATCTTTTTAGCTACCATCCCATGTTTGCATTCAAAAGATTATTAACCACCTCACATAAACTTTGCCTTGTATGTACATTCTGAAGAACACAATTAGAACTCTGTGAAGACACAATCAACTGAGCTTGTTTGGAACGCGCGCGCAATTAGCCACACAAATAAGAAATGAAAAATGGCAAGAGCTGAATAGTATGTGTACGTCCACCTTAATTACGTATTTGAAAGGAATATGATTTTATGCAGCGGCGCGAGGAAACTAATAATGACTAGTTCAAATGGCATTCTCTCGCAGGAATCGTCACTGTAGATTGCTTGCTAACTATAATAGTGTTAGTGAGTTCATAGATTCGCTCTATCTTTCTTCACTATCTCTGAAAGATCTGAACGGTTTCGCCCCAAATTTTCACGAGCACTATTCTTGGGAGCGTGTTGCTATAAACTGGGTAGTTCAAAAGCTGAAAGGAACACAGGCATCCATCTGATTTTTTTTTGAAAACATAGCGTCTTATAAGTATAGGGTCACTTGCTTCAAAATTTCGTAAGGATATATCAAAATTAACAACAACAAAACATTCGTAACCTTCCAGAATTCTCTCCCCTTCTGACGGGTTATATTATCCGCTTTGGCGTGCTTGGGACAAGTCGAGAAACTGTCTGGAGATCACTCGTTACCAAACCTCTTGGGTGTGATTTGTTCATTTGTTTACAGTAGCCTAAAAGTCTTAAATGAGGACGCCTAGGGGCTTGGATTGAAATTGAGACTGGTGAGGTCGAAAGAATGAGATTTCTCCTTTCAAACTACGCTCTTGTTGAGGCACCCGTGTGTGTAAAGTTACGTTATCGTGGGATTTGGAGAGCTTGCATGACTATGGCTTCTTGTACGGTACTACGACGTTTACGAGGATGCCTTAGTGAGCAGTGGAATTCAGGGGACGTGTGATTAACACGAATCGGCTCTCACGGAAGCCAGAGGAGGCGACCAAACCACAGCGGTACCGTCAACAAATCCACTCCTGTGAAAGAATGATGACTTCTCCTCTGAATTGCACGGTCACTCCCCTGGTCAATTGGTAACATTCAGATTAGACTTCTTTTGCATAGCATACATGTATTAGTTACGCTTCGGAACTTTTTGGTAATGATCTGAAGAGTACATCACTCTCCTTACCCTAAAATCCCAATTGATGCACCACCCTCCTAATTCAATTGATGCACCCATCCTACGTACTCCTCCACAGAAAGAACTCGTGTTACCCAGTGCGTGAAAGGTACATACGGTGTGCTCAAGCAATGTCTCCTCAGTGTGGGCAAATACAGGCACCGGTGAATAAAGCTTTTGGACACTTTAAGTGCCTCTTCTTTGCTTCGCCGTTGCTCACCGGTCGTAGAGAGAAATGGATTGGACACCTTTTTCACGGAAAGCGCCCTCCAATTTTCTTCAATTCGGAGCAAAGAGACCTAATAGTGTGGAAGGAGTTCTTTAC